GAAGACGAGCAAAGCCTCGCGACGAAGAGGGGAGGGAAGCCGAAAGAGCCGATGAAGAAGGAGGCTGCACAGACGAAGGGATGGGAGAAGAGCACGGTGTGGAGAATGAGACTCCAGAAGGCGACATAAAGGGAGAGAAGGAAAAGGAAGAACGGTGACTGCCAAGTGGCTGAGAAACAAAGGGAAAATGGGATTGGCACCAAGTGGCAGCAGCAAAGGGGAGCATAAACTAAGAGAGGCGGCGGCAACACTAAAGCAAACGTGTCGCCAGGGAAGGCTTCCACAGAAGGGGGATTAGGATGCGGCAAGTGACGATAGAGAAGCAGCCAAAGAGAGGGTGGGGGTTCAAAAAAGGAATAGAGGAGAAAGGAGGGGGTAGAGAAGGCAAAAGAGAAGAAATAACAGAGGCAAAATAGGAAACAAAAGGCACAACCCAAAGGAGACCACAGTAGACGACATGTGGCACGAAGAAGAGGAGCCAGCAGGTAACTTGCATGAAAAAGAACCAATCTGCAGGGGCAAGGGGAGGTTCAAGACCAAAGAGGGCACCCTCTCAACCAATGGGGGATGGTCAAGGGAAGAGGTTGGTGGCAGCGACGGCGGAACAGCAGGCAGCAAGGCTTCAGCACGAGGCGTATGGCGATCGAGAGGGACAACAACCACAGGCTTGCACGCCAGAAATGAGGATGTTGGCCGCCAGAAATGTTGGGACAACCTCTCCGGTGCGGCTTCTAACTGCGAACCAGAGTCCAACCATCCGGAGAAGGGGAACAGTATTTTAAAATGTGGCCGCATCACCGCATATGCGACCGCATCATGCGGTATGCGGTGGGCTCCGCATCAGAACTTACCACATATGCGCTTTTGACCTATGTGACTGCATATGCGTCGCATCGTAGCCGCATCCCGCATCGCACCGCATCCCCTTCCACTAAAATTTTTTTCGATTTTGCCCCTCAGGGAGGGGTAAAATGGTCTTTTTGACTATCCAAGAATGGGGGAAGCTGTTTGGGGGGGTATTAAACCCCCTAAACGATGATTTCCAGCCACTTTTGTGGCATTTTTTGCATTAACTCGAGGGCAAAAACAATTTTGCAGAAATTTATTTTTCATCCAAATCTTCGATTTGGCGGTTGTTTGATACTTGAATGTTGATTTGATGCATTTGATTGTTAATTTGAGAATGTTAGGGTGAATTTGTGGTAAGAAATCGGGGGGCAAATTTTGATTTCAAATTTCAAAATGACTCTCAATATGGATGATTGTATTAAGTTATTAACTATTAACTCTTCTTGAGCTGGACTTTTGGTTTGTAATATCACTATTTTGTGCTTATGGTTGTTTATGGCTGTGCTTATGGCTGTTGATGGTTGTGCTTTTGTCCTTATGGTTGTACTTATGGTGCAAATTTATGCTTATGGTTGTTGATTGTTGATTGTCTTATGAAGCTAGTTTCTAGGGGATAGTGGATAACTGGATACAGAATCTCCGACAGTTAATAATTTTGAAGTTAATCATTAAACTAAAATACCTACTATCACATATATCACCTCCATATTTTTTTTCTATGTATTAACCTATTTTTTTAGATTTTTTAGAATTCTTTTACATTTATTAACCGCATCGTCGTGATGCACCAACATCTGAGCCGCATAGCCGCATCGACCCCCCCACCGCTTTTGGCCACATCCCGCATTTTAAAACACTGAAGGGGAACCAAAGTCTCGAGGGCGTGGCGAGCGATGGGTAGCTTGGAAGTGGAGTTTGGAAGGCGGCGAAGCCGGGATCCAGGCCAAGCTAACCCGGAAGTACAAGCCATTGTTGTCAAGCCAAATCGCCTCAGGGATAAGCTCCAACGAAAGAGAATCAATGAGCAATTGTATCGACCCAAAGGGTAGGAATTCCGAAGATTTCCAATTAATGCAGATGAAGCCCCCAACTGCTTCACCAATAGCCTTGTAAGTTCTCGGGTTGCACACATGGGGGGTATGTTGAAAGCCCGAAGCCAAATACGACAAGGGAGAAAAGCTCTCACACTAGGGTTCCAGCGAGATATGGTGAGGGTAGCACCTTTGAAGGCCAAAGGGGGAGAGCACAAGGCCATCTCCGACCCTTCCCTGGAAGGAAAGGAAAAAAGGATGCCTCCACGCTGAAGGAAGCAGCAGCCATTGTTAGGGTCATTCCAAGACCGTTGAGCCCATTTCTCCATGGCGCGAAGGTCAAAACGGGGGGGAGAAAAGTAGCCAACAAGGGAGTTAAGCAAGCCCACGTGGCAACAAGGGGGGAGGCCAAGGGGGAAGCTGAGTGGAGGGAGGGGGAATGGGGGGTGGCCGGAGAAAAGTTGCGTGAAAGAGCGGGGGGACGCCATCAGTTCCTTCCTTTTAATGGATGTGAACCTAAACTTTAGGGGAATGCTAAATACATATTGTGAAAATCAGAGTCTCCAACATGTTTCTGCAACATAACTATGAAGGATCAAATTAAGTCTGAACAATTCATGCTCTAGAAAGCGAATAAAGATCTAAGAAGGGGAGGGCAGGCATGTGTCCATAAATATTATGAAGGCATTTGGATGGCTTATAAGTCATGGATAGCACGACCATATATGCCAGCGCCACATAATTTAGATGTTTCCTGAATTGTCAATGTCTACAAAAGATTAACCCCACTTATATGGTAAATACTGCTTTTAGACAAAAGGTCAAAACTACCAAGGAGGCAATTTGCATTTGTGCTGAATACAACAGTCTGTGCAGTGAATTATACGCACCCAAAAGCACCTTATATGTTTATGCTTTCACTGTTTGGTAATAAATGCATCATCAATTTAGTAAGCACTCAACGGCCCATCAACCATGCCTATGCACATGATATTGCCAAAGTTGTAATCTTAGAAGCCTATGGAGAGGCCAATGCTCCATGGCAGTCTTAGTACACCTTGAAGTTGGGAGTACAAATATATCTCTGCCTGTGTCACTACAATATATATGAGTTTGTAGAATATAGGGAAATTCATATGCATGTCTCCTATCTTCAAAGTTTTGTTTTTATGTTCATACCCTTTTTCCCCCTTTCTAATTTTTTCCCAAATGCCCCCTCTTCAGACCTATTCAGACCTGAAGGACTGAGGTCCCATTTGCTTCTACAAGTTTTGATTCTAGGGTCTCTTTCAAGCTTGCTCTTCATGCTTCCCCCCTCACCGGCACCCTGCCACCCGCCACCCGCCACCCGCTTCTCCCCTCCCCCCGACAAAAACAAAACTGTCTAGGGTTTCGATTTGATGTCAATAATGCCTCCCAAGATGACCGAGAACTGTAGTTAGAATAATGTCTGACTGAACTCGTAAATGCTGCTGTATGGAGAGATAACAGAGAGAATATGACCTGATCTGGTTCTAGAGAAGAAAGTGGCCCTTGGTGGATCCTGCTTCAGCCCTGGAGAGAGGAAATAGGTCCTGAAATTGAAGATGGGCATCTAATTTCTATATTCTTTGGTTCCTTATCTCTGGTTTTTGAACAAATTTGAAAAGGACGAGCTGATTTTTTTGTTGTTGGGGTGGAAATATCTAAGGTTTAAGCCTGAAATTCAATATTGGGGGTTAGTTTCGGGGAAATTTGGTTCTCAAATTTCTAGGTTTATCACGTAGATTTAGTGATCAGTAGTGGGATTGTGTTGTTAATATGGTAACCTTTGTGATATTCATCAGGAATAGATGATAAAAGCTGGATATTGAGTATTCGGGGTGGGGATATCTGATTAGCATGGCTGGGTTGCAGTTCTCCAATGAAGCTGGGGTTGGATTATAAATATTTGGGGATGGAATCACCAGGGTTATGGGTCGAAATTTGAGATAGTTGATTTGTTTTGTTGTTAGCTTTGAAACATTAGCAAAGTGGAAATTCCAAGGTCATTTCGGCCCTTGAAGGTCTTATGTACAATCACTTAAAGCCTTTAAGGTCCGATGTCAACACCAGAGAGTTCACTTGAGACCTTCAAGGCGTGAAGGGCGATGACATCCAGTCACTTTGGACCTTGAATGTCCAAAATGGGGCATTATGGAAAAAACATAAAAAAAAAGGTGGGTGGGTGGGGGGGGGGGGGGAAGGGTTTATAAATGTCAAATGCAAAAAATTGGAGGGACTTCTACAATAACAAATATTTCAGGGGACATGAGCTAATATATTCCACACATAGATGTAAGCATGCACATGAATACAAAATTACATATATGCATACATATATATGCATATAAACACAAACATAAATATAAAAAAACATATACAAATACACACAAAACACACACATACATACATATACATGTGCGTGTATACATATATACACGGAGACATATAATCCAATTTTATATACAAATCTGGAAATTATATACTTATATATCATCATAAGATATATAAGAAGGATCCATTTGGGAGAATTTAGGTGTGGCACCAATAGGCGATAAGATGAGCGAGAGTAGACTTAGGTGGGTTGGCCATGTATGGCACCGACCAAGTGCAACACCTGTTAAGAGATGCAAGTTAGTTGAAGTGGAAGAACTGAAAAGAGCAAGAGGTAGGCCCAAAAGCAAGTTGTTGGAAGTAGTCCAAAAAGATATGGGGATTGATGGCCTCACTGAGGGTATGGCCTTTAATAGAGTACAATGGTAGATCAGGATTCGTGTAGCCGACCCCAATTAATTGGGAAAAGGCTATGATGATGATGATGATGATATATATATATATATGAGAAGGATCAAAGCATAGTTCAGCCAAAACTGAGCAACTAAGATGACTTCCACATTCTCATGCTCTTAACTGCAAATCCAAGATTTTAGAATGCAACCATTCATCATGGTGGGGATGGGATACCTTAGGCTAGTGCTGCAATATTATGCCCACAAAATACAAGCCTTTTGGTGCCAAGCAACTCCTTTGTCATTTCTTCATGTTCCAAGTTCTCTTGCAGCAGGGGACCAAACCTAATAAGATGGTAATGAGATATGGTTGCAATAACCATTGAAAGAATAATATCAATATCATAATCAATATCGACACCCATATCAATGAAAAAAGAAAATTAATAATAATAATAATAATAATAAGGTGATCAAAGTAGCAGCAAGAGCCATTCCTTGTTCATTTCACCTTCCTTGAAAGTCATCTCATATCTGCTTTTGCCCATTCATGTGGGTCAGTGAATGAACTGAAGAATATTATAAAAATTACCAATATATATAAAACAAGAATGTTAGGAAACATTCACCAGAAAAATCAACTGAACTAGGTCTACTTTGATCAGAAAAATCAACTGAACTAGGTCTACTTTGATCACAAGTACATGAATCAGAAGGTTGTCTAGACCAAACATCACCCAGAATTACTAGCCACAGACTGTTGTATTTGTTCGGTAACAGATTCATTTTTTGAGTATCTCCTTTCTTGTCGCACTACAGAATTCTCAAGATCTTCTCTGATGCAAACTCCATTATACTTTCCTTTGTCACTGCCTCAAAATCCAAAACTCACCTTTTCTTTCTTGAGCTCTCGAAAACCCTAACTCTAGGTCCTCAAATCTCCTTCTTTCTTTTTTCTTTTTTCTTCCTGCAGGAATGCTCTGAAATACGGAGTCTTGAATGCCTAATCTTTCTTCTTTCGATCTCTCTCAAACTCCATCCTTCAATCAAAACTCCTCCATAAACCCTATCTCACCAGGTCACTCAGCCACATGCCTTCTTTTGCAACTCATTCTTACCCCACATCACCCTCTCTGTCATGCCCTTTTTCTTCCACAAAAATAAATCCCGTAATAACGTTGTATCTGAAACCTTATACTGTCCCAACTTTCATTCCCTTTTGAATTATCTCCTAAGGAGCCCCAGATCTCTCAATATACACCACCAGGGTGCTTTTGCCTTTCATTCCCAGTTTCTTTATGCCTATGATCTCCAAATGAATGCCCAAGAACTTTTAAGTTTTCATTTTCTTTCAGTTCACAGCTTCAGAACATTTTTGCCCATTATTTTCCCTCTGGGTTTCTTTCCAGAAAAAATTTGGCATCTCAAAGTTCAAGTTTCACCAAACTTCTCTGCTAAGAAAAAATACAAGTCGGAATGCTCAATATTGTGATGAGGTAATTTGATAAAAAAATTAAAAACTCCGCGAAGATGGATGAGATGAGTTTATACCTATGTACTTTGCACAGCATATTTTTTTCCATCGTATTATTCGTCACGATTGCTTTCCTCATATCCCCGAACAAAATGGGCTTGAAACAGGCATTGCCTTATACTTTTAAACTGGTCTGAAAACTCATAATTATGCATCTAGATAATTCGCAAGCCCAAAAACTCAACTGGCCTCAACAAGTTCACAGCTTAGGTTTACATTTGATCTGGCTCTGTTGACAAAATCAGGTCACATAAAACATAAATAAATGATGGAAACTATGAAAACATAGAAAATTAAGGAATCTCTGTTTAGATCACAAGAAAAGAAACCTAAATAAAATGACACATATGAAAAGCATTACATATAATTTGTTATTTATTCTTTTCTATTTTACATAATATAATTTACTACTTTCCCCAAATAAAATTTGGGGAATTGCAATTATAAAAAATGACAGTTCATAAAATTCATATTTAATTTTATCCATATGTTGCACTGGTTTAAGAAAAGGCAGGTTTTGACTGGGTCGAAAATGAGGTGTAAATGACTCCCTTTACCTTATGCTTATGGAAACTGAATGCTGATTTTGTACAAGGTATCATTTTCTGAAAAACCATTTCTGGACATAATCTAGTCCTCTAAAGATTGTCAGACTAGATTAATTTTGTTCGATCTACAATTCAGCCTTGACAGGATCAAGGTACCCCTGAAACTCAACCAGATTTTGATCTAGGTCATATTGACCCTACTAAGTGTTTTTTTCTCTTTTCTCGTTTTTCCTTTTTTTTTTAAGAAATTGACTGTATTGTATTAAGTATACATTTCCTACTGTGAATACAAAGAAGAACATACAAAATTTTCCATGAAGCAAACATCTGAACTTAAGAGGGTAGTTTCAGCAAGTTTTATTAAAAAATTTCCCACCAAAGCACCTGCCTTAGCTAAGGAACCTGCGGGCTCATTTGCTTCCCTCCAAACATGCTTGCAAACTACTTGAAAGGGCCTCGAGTCAGAATCTGAATCAAAATGTGCTCAGATCTCCAAGGGGGTGGGCAGACTCTGTTAGCCCTGTGGATGGCTAACAGAGTGGGGGCAGACTCTGTTAGCCCTGTGGTGGGCAGACTCTGATAGCCCTGTGTGAATACAAAGAAGAACATACAAAATTTTCCATCTGAACTTAAGAGGGTATTTTCAGCAAGTTTTATTAAAAATTTCCCACCAAAGCACCTGCCTTAGCTAAGGAACCTGCGGGCTCATTTGCTTCCCTCCAAACATGCTTGCAAACTTTTTGAAAGGGCCTCGAGTCAGAATCTGGTTGAAATGGTGCTCAGATCTCCAAGGGTGGGCAGACTCTGTTAGCCCTGTCGACGGCGTTTAGAGAGTTCCCTCCACAATGAGGGGCTGAGCCCAATTGTAATTGGCCTTATAATATGGCACATGCTTCTGCCATCACACAGTTGGCAGTGCCGACGGGACCAAAAAAAGATAGTCTACAATGAGCTGAAGAATCCCTGAAATTTCTCTGAGCACCTGCTTGTCCCAGGTTGCCGAAACCATCAAAATTTAGCTTGATGGCCCGAACCTCAGAGGGAATGCCAAAGGTTAGATCCTGATATAGTCATGGGTCGTAAATGAGAAATATCCTTCCAGCTCTTTAAGAAGTTTTCCCAAGAAAGGGACCGGAACTCCTTTCCACAACTGAGAGTAGTTCTTCAACCCACCCCAGCATGAGTCTCCCTGCCTTATTCTATGATTTTGCTCTAACCCAAAGAGTCATAACTTACCCACCTTTCTATTGAGTTGATTTTTGGTCCCCAATATCTATGGATTGTCAAGTACTACATTCTTGATTTGGTCACTCTTGAAGGGATATGTCAGGTTCTCACTCATGAGTCGCTACATCTTGATGCACATTTTCTATTCAAGTGTTCAAGGGCTAGTCCTTTCTTTTTCTTCTTTGATAGACTATTAATCCTTTGTCATGCTCTTCATGTACATTATTTTCATATCCTTCATATGACTGACTTCTAATAGCTGTTGGTTCGTCATGCAGTTAGCTCAAATCCATTTTGTCAATAGTGGTGCATGAGGAAGCATTAATTTGGAGCTTTTGGGAAGCAACTATAATGTCTTCTCCTTCAATTTTTGGGAGCTTTGGAGGATAACACATTTCGTTAAAGGTCACATGCTGAGAAATTACCATTCTCTTGGTTCTTGGACAATAACAACGATACCCATATCGTTGTAGCCCATGATCACACAAATCTCAGCTTTTGGCATCAACTTATCCCTTTGACTTCCACATGAACATAAAAGTAACACCCAAAAACTCATAACATGTTGTAATTAGTTGTCCTCCATGAAGATAAATATAGAGATTTTACACCAGTATTCATTGAAGGTAACCGATTAATAACATGCACTGCAGTGTCAAAAGCGTCACTCCACAGATTGGGGACTCTACTAGCATGCGTCATACAAAAGGTTCCACTCTTTTATGTCTATGCTTTCTTTCAGCCACACCATTTGGTTGCGGTGTATGAGGACAAGAAAGCTCTTGCTCAATTCCATTTTTGGAGAGGAAGTCTAAAAATTTAAGTGTATTCCCCTCCTCCATCACTCTGAAATTGAGTAATGTAGCATTGGAAATACGACTCAACAAACGAACAAAATTTAACAACAACATCAAAACATAGGATTTTATTCTTTAGAAATAAGATCTAAGTGAGTATGGTGTAATCATCAATGAAAAGAACATAGTATCTAGAATGAGATTCAGATTCCACAGGAGGGTATTAACTTCAAAGGAGGAGTGACTATTTTATTATTATTATCATTAACAAGAAGCTCACAATGTTTGCCACGTTGACAACTTGAACATAAAACACAACTCTTTTTATTATTTGAAGTACATGCCAACCCACTCTTTTCAGACTCTCAATAGGACCTTGACCACAATGAGCAAATCAATGGTGCCATACGTTTACTAGAAAGAAAAACTGTGGATGACTGAATTGGAAAGATAAGATACTGCCCATGTAAATGGAATTCAGGTATATTGAATAAAAGAAAAAATTTTGAATTTACTACCATGAGATCCACATAGCCACTCCTTTCACACACACACACACACACACACACAAGCGCGCAGAGGGGCTTCTAACCCTCGCATTAGTGAAGCAATCAATCAAAGAAGGTCCTATATTTAGTGCTAGAGGATCAATCAAGTAAAAAGGCTCCAAGATTGGGTATAAAACAGTGTGAAAACTCTTATTCATCTTAGAAGAAGAGGCATCTACATATCCAATGAGACATTAGTGCCTAATGCTCCCAAGTATGCGTGGAAGACGCTCCACCAAATCCCACCAAACCAGCATTGCCAAATGAACTCCGACCAATTTATTGAAGTTAGTTCGATGAGATCCCTAGCCGGCAGAAACTACTGATCCTGAGGTATCTGAGGAACAATCATGCTATGGTGACAGCTCTCCAACTCGTAAGTGATCCATGGTCCTAAAACCCCGCCAATCCCACAAAATGATTCGGTGACTTTACATACCCTTAGAGAGTTGTGACTTAGTAATGCAAGCTTTTAAGTGGGCCACTATAGGGAACGGCATGAAAAATTACATGAAGAGATTATATGCTTGTAGATATAACACAATACGGTTTCTATTTAATAGTTTTAGTACCCTGAAGGCATGGTCACTGAATTACACAGAATCGTATCCCTAAAAAAAATAACTAAATTGCATCACATTAAAGGTGGGTTCTTCCAAATCTAAGAGACATCGAACATTAAAGAAGTTTCTAGTTTTTTAAACTCATATTTTATTATAGTTCCAAGTTATTTTACTGCACTGAATTAAAAAATTATTCTAGAACCACGTGACTTTTCTGGGCTAAAGTTGGCCAAGCCACAGCCTAGCTAATATTTCTTCTCCTTGGGTTTCTGTTTTACTTGGTCCCTCACTCTCTGAATATTTCAATTGAAGAAGAATACAAAAGCTAGAAACAATTATAGAGAGAGGAAGAATGAATAAACGGGAAGGAAGAAGACAATATTAAAGATCCATTGATTGAGGTACATTGCAGGTACAGAGCAATTCTTTTGATACGCAACATGTTCTCCATGATTCTGCAAGTTCATTAACTTCGACAAGGAAGCACATAAACAATTCAGTAGTATCACTCATACTTCAGAAACAAGAATTGCAGAATATCAGGAATGCGTAACATTAATGACAATTCATTTAACTAAAAAGAGAAAGAACTACTATTTTACAAATCAAAAATGTATAGGCTTAACCTATGAAAAGAAAAAGCATTAAAGAGAATTTGTAACATCCTCGGTGTAGAAAGAATGCATCTCTTCATCTCAAAATGCATCTAATACAATCGTCCTGCACTGACAACTATCAGGCCTTCTGCAAGACAGGTATGTCATATGTAGAAGGATTCCATGCAGAAGATACCTGTTTTCCGGCCAACAGCTATAGTGAGAGCATGCTGCAGAGTTTGTCATCGTCAGCGACTATAAGAAGCAAAAAGTGCCAGAAAGTATCTCTCAGACAGAGAAACTAACAGAGCAATCATGGCTCGCTCCTTCTATTGACTAATCTGACTAACATTGTGCGTCCATGAAACTCCTGTGAAAGAATATGAGTAATTAAATTTAACTTAAAACAGCCTCAATTACTTTTTAAATTTTAATCAGACAATGTAAACATATATCCTGTACTTATCTAAATAAGCATGGTAACCAAGAGCTGATAGTGAAAATATAGGATGTTGACTATTTATATTCCTCAAAGTTCTAGGAATAAGGAAACTGCAATGACTGCTGAATCTCTAAACCCAAATTCTTTGCTTCGCTCAATGTGAAAGTGCAGGTTCTACCAAAGGGGAGATGCTATAAAATGATGCTTCAGCCAAGAGTGAACTGATAAGGAAAAGCAAAGATCATTACCTTTCCATCAAAAGATAATGCAGCCTCAAGTTCTGTCTCTGACGAGAAAGAGACAAACCCATAAACACGATTCCTCCCTGCTTTTCGATCATATAACAGCCTTGCACTCACCACATTACCAAATTGAGTAAAATGTTCCCTCACATCTTCAGGTTTCACAGCCCATGGCACATTACCAATGTACAATTTATGAGGACTCTCAAAGACCAAGTTCTTCTTGGTCATAGAAGTGAAAGCCTCCTGGTTACGGTTTGTAGAACTCATATCCGCAGCAAATCTTATGCACATCTCACGCCCACGCAAATCCTAGAAATCCAAGTAAAAAGGGAAACCAGATCTCAACAAGAAGTACATGATTGAAAAATTGATAATAAAAAATGATAAGGAAGATTATTACGAAGCAGATATTCTGAGATGCACTACATACAGAGCCATCCAAAGAAGCTATGGTGGATTTCGCTTCGGCCAAAGAGTTCATTGTAACATAACCGCATCCACGGCTTTCTCCCGTCTCTTTATTCCGTGAAACCTACAACCAGCTCATATATCAAACACAATACTTATCTAGTCTCTACCTTCAAGGACATGTCAGAAACCGAACTACCTGAACATGCACCAAATACATATGCACAGTATAGAGCATAAAGAACCAACAAGCAAAGCCTTTTGTTCTCTTTATTGTGTTACTATGGTTCTCCTCATTCTTGCTTTTATGACAACCACTTTGTTTTAACATTCAAGTACTAAATCAGGAATCTCAAAATCCAAACAATTCCTTGTTGATATATCGGCACAGAGGGATCCAGAGGTCATTCAAAAAGACCAGTCAGTCTCTAATGGAGTGCAACGGAACCAAACAACTATTTGATGAAGAAATGGCAGAAGACCAAAAACTTTTGAAAAACTGCTCTAAATACCCATATAGAGATGAAGAAAACAGCAATATAGATTGTTCAAGACAATTACAGAGAGAAGACAAAGACAGAGAACAAGGAGAGGGAGAGAGAGTGAATGGGACACAACGAAAAATTATTCATTTACAAAAAAAAAAAAATTAATATATATATATANATATATATATATATATATAATAATAAACTAACTAATAAGAACTATTACGTTACTACAA